ATCGCAATGAGGCTGGACCTTACCGGGGTGCGATGGTTTGCGTGCCTCAGAGATCCATTGAGCTATGCTGGGTGGTGCTTTTTTGCAACTCCAGAGCCACTCATACCAGATTGGTCAATAATTAGAGGCCAGAAAAACTCGGCCTCCTGGTCCTCCAGATTAGGGGTTGGAATAAGAGTAGCTCCTCATTTCATAAAACGGACTCTGTAGTCCAGTGCCAAAACCCGCTTCCATGCGGTAAGGTTTTTGAACCAAAGGCTTTGGTTGAGAACCCTAATCATTCTCCTGTCTAGGCCTGGGCAACCTGACAGTATCCTGCCTACGCAATACAATGAACCTTTTCTACAACAATTTCTTGATGCTCTGGAAGTCCCAGAGGATAATAAACGATGCCCTATCTACTGCATCGAGCAGGGTAGATAGGGGTTTGGATGCAACCCCCAAGGCCTTCCCGCCTTCTTGTGCTTTTTCATCCTTTAACCACCCGTTTCAATTTTCACTTTCACCCCCCCGTTTCCAATCCTTCAATTCTTGGCGTTCCACCACGTTGCTTGAATAGTCGCTTATATACTAGATTCAACGCACACAAAATGGCAGGGCTGCGCTCCAATCCATTCGACAAGTCCATGTTCAACCAAGCGAACAACGTCAATCCATCCGTTTCCCTTTGGAGTCCTCGATCCTCCCTCACCCTGGCATGCCTCAAGGCGCACAGTTCGCTATAGATTGCCCAACAGGCAGCACTTGCCCGAACACTCGACACCCTATCGATCCATATTTTCTGCTTATCGGAAACCCGCCTGCAAGATTCGAGGTCCGTGCTTATTCTGTGATCCCCCCACATGCGACACTGGCGACACATTCTCATTACGCCTTATCTGGCGATAGTGCAGCTTCAAATGCCGGTCAAGTTGGCGTCGGCATTGTTTTTTGAGTCCGCAGGATGAAGCGGCCCTAATCGACTGGATCCCTGTCAACAGCTGGATGTGTGCCGTTAGGTTGGCTGGCTCGTTCCAGGCTTCGAAGACGCGCGGGGACAAACGATGCCTGTTTATCATTGCGGCTTACGTCCCCACAAACTGCAGCGCTAATTAGGTGAAGGATGACTTCTATCACCAACTTAACGATCTTCTTCGTTACAGAAGAAGCACGGATACTATGATGCTTGCTGGTGATCTAAACGCCCATGTAGGAAAATTGTTCTCTGTTGAGCTTAATCTGCCCGGCCAACATGGTGTAGGCTCCCGTAATGATAACGGCGAGTGGTTGTTACACCCGTGTGAAGGTGCTCGGTTCTTTCACGCGAGCACTAACCTTCGACATAGCACCCGCAGAAGGGTGACCAGGTGCCCACTAGTCTCGGACCACCTATGGACGCAAATCGATCATATCGCGATTAGTTACCGCTGGAGAGGCCGTATCCAAAACCGTCGTTCGATTTGGAGCACCAGCGTGGATTCCAATCACGCACATGTGTGTGCCGACCTTCGGGTGCATTTCGGCGGATGTCCGCAACGTCGCTCTGAGCGCATCGTCACCTGTCAACCGCAGAAGCCAGGTGTTCGGAATGCGTATCAAACAACTCTGGCATCTGGGCTGAGTTAGCGTCCACTGAACACTGTCGACGATCACTGGTCGCATATTCGTCAAATGTTACTATCAGTAGGCATGTCTTCATGTGGCCAATCAAACTGCCAACCTAGACATTGGGTATCTACAAAGTCTCTGGAACTCATGGATGCTCAACGAAGCATTCCGACTGGAAACCAACAAAATTAGACTCGCAAAGTTTTCAGGGCAAAACTGAGTGCTAGCCTAAAGAGAGACCGCGAAGCCTGGTGGTGTTATCGTGCATCGGAAATGGAAACAGCCGCTGCCGTTGGTAATCGTCGTAAGTTATTCCGTTTGATACGGGAAATAGGCAGCAGGAGATCTGGTGTTAGCGAGGCCATACGCGACGAGTGTGGACAGTCGATCCACAGCTTGTCAAAACGCTTGGAGCATTGGATCGAACGCTTTGCAAGGTAATTTAACCAATCTGAGTTATCGCTTTCTCTTACGGACATTGAGTGCCCTTCTCCATGGGCCGTCTCCTTAGATCCGCCTCACACGCAGAAGTCGAACATGAGATCAGACTGTTGAAAGTGGAAAAGGCCGCTGGTGCAGATAGAATTCCCCCAGCTCTCCTCAACTGCGGAGGACCTGCTCTTGTGGATAAGTTACACGAGTTGCTAATGGGATTTTGGGAGCAGGAATCTGTCCGACAAACAGGAGTCGCACCGTCATAGTCCCAATTTTCAAGGGAGGATCCCGTTCGTAATTCCGCAATCATAGAGATCCGCCTGATCCCAATCGCTTCTAAAGTACTTGCCTCTGTCGTTCTCCACAGACTGACTGGTGCTCGTGAAGGCCAGACCCACGAACAGCAAGCCGCGTTTCCTCGAAATCGAGGTTGCATCGACCACATCTTTACTTTGCGTCAATTGTTGGAGCACCGCCATGTTTATTGGCGACCCACCGTTGTCGTGTTTCTCGACACCAAAAGTGCCTTTGATTCGGTGGATCGATGTGCCCTTTGGGAGTGTCTACTGAGAAAAGATGTGCCCGATAAATATGCAAATATTATCAAAGCACTGGAGGTGCATAGTTCAGGCAGAGTGTTTATGGCAAACTGTCGCCACCCTTCAGTATCTCCAGCGGTGTGAGTCAAGGTTGCCCGCTGTCATCTTTTCTATATAACTACGCAATTAATGAAGTCCTGGAAACAGAGTTCGCTGGACACGACCTAGAAGGTGTGGAGCTACTTCCTGGTGAGCGACTTCTTGATCTGGACAACATTGCCCTCATATGTGACAGCGCCCAAACGTGCCAGGCTGCACTGGACCGACTAGCACTGGCTGTCAATGGTTTTGGGCTATGCTTTGCTCCATCGAAATGCAAAGTTCGTCTCCTAGATTGGCATGCATCCACCCCTGCGCTTATCCTTGGCGGTGATCAGCTCGAAGTCGTTCAGGAATTCAAGTACCTTGGCAGCTATATTAACGCTCGTAGGATCGAAGCTGAGATGACGAACCGTATAACAAAAGTTCGAGGTGCTTTTGTCAATCTTCGCCACCTGCGGCGCAGACGCGACATCACTCTTACCCTGAAGGTCAGAGTTTATAATGCAGCCGTCCATTCAACCCTCTTATACGGTTGTGAAACCTGACCCATTAGGTCGACAGACATAAAGACGCTAATCACGTTCGATCATCGCTGCCTCCGCAGCTTAGCTCATGCCTGGTGGAAGTATCGCGTGAGCAATGAGCGTGTTCGGATTCGCGTATTTCGTGCTTGAATAGCGAGTGGACCGCTCAGCACCATTAGATCACGCATCAGGCTCCCATGTGTGGGACACTTGTTGCACATGCCAGCACACCCACTCCCGCCATGTGCATTGTTTACGCGCCGAGCGTGTGGTTAGAAGAGGAAGAGGGAAGGTCAAGCGATGACTTGGTCGAGAGAAATGAAAATCCTCACTTCGAAGTTGGCGTCGGTTGGTGCATCCCGACTGCCTGGCTGGGGTCCTAAGAACGGTGAACACGTTTGGTTGGACACACTTGCTGATTAGAGCGCTTGGCGAATCGCACAGGGTTTTGCAACATGTTGAATTTTATTTGCAAAATTTTACTTCACGCAAGTTTGTGGAAAAGACTATAGAGGGGAACTTACAAACTCGGCACCACCCATACAAACTACAAATAGAAGTCCTCGGTCATAGTTGTGATTTTTTGCTCTCTGAACTGGTCGGGTTGTCATGCAAGTGGAGTATAAGAGGAAGATGTCTATTTTCAAACGCAGCAAAGTAGCGTAGGTTTTCATTGCAAATGAGGCGAACTGGTTCTCTCCGCATCATTCTCGCCTACGGACGAGGAACATTGGATTTACAAAGAGACGGGGTTGCAGAATATGGAGCAAAAATCTTCCACTTTCATTGGTAAAAGAGGTGTATGTCACCGAGTCCATCTTTTGTGGTCTCCATGAAACATGTAGACCTTTTTCGATTAACATCGTCGATCATGATGTTGCCGTACATGGCCGTGAAAATACACGAATTGTAATAAACAGGTACATGACACCCTCTGGGAGTCTTAACAAAATTTATGATCTACATGCCGTTTGAGAATTAACCATTTGATGTGTTGTCAAGAACCAAGTGATCCCAGCGCTACAGATGTAGAGGTCCATGCACACATGCGCATGAGTTAAGCTGTTTATGATACCCAATGAAACTTAAGTGTCAATCAGATGAAGTGAATTTCATGCAATCGCAACTGGTACGATCAAATACAAAGGCAGCTCAGATGTCACAGGACTTTGTAATGTGTCCAGTTAACAATCAGTAAACTACTGTTCAAGCTCGTGTCAGTCACACAAAAAGAAGTCGGATGACCTTCAAGAGGAACAACTTCTTCCGATAAAATAAGAAGGGGTCACAGGGTACGAAAAACAGTAGTTCACATAGCTGGAAAACTATCACCGTAATGAAACGCCACTGGCTAGGCAGCAGCGCCTCACATACGATTAAGACTTTTGTTTTCTTCCCGTGCTAGTCAGTTTCAATGAAGGAAATCCGTGGGAGCAACTCCAATAGATTAGTTAGGGCCTGTTTGCGAGAGTATTATGAACTGGTGATCATCCTAATCATTTAGTTGGAAATGGAATCGAATAAACAAACAGACAAACAAACAAGATATGCGTTTCAGTGGCTGGGAGACGCAGGTAGGTAAATCGCATCAACCACTCATAATACGTACCATTTCTGTCCACAAGGGGTTGGGAACAGCAGTCGACTGATCAATGTCTCATCGGACAGTTGCGTGCTCTCGTGTTCTTCGTGCGCACGTGTTCCTCTCTGCACAACACTCTCGATGCTATTGCCAGCGTGTAACCAACCCGTCACACGATCGCGTGCGGACGACCGATGGGTGATGCTTCCTAGTGGTTCGGAAGGAAGCGATTGGCAACTCCTCGAATGAGCCAGTGGATTAGCGGTGTGGTGTGAATTAAGCAGAGGAAATCGATGCAGTGGATAGTCACACACACTATCGCCCCATTCGGTCACTATGGCTTGAGGAGGCGGTCTCTCAGTGTTGATCGCGGTGGTTGCACGTGTCACAGCGACAGACGCAGACTTAGACGCAGGAGACGTCCCACTCGAATGACGATCAAGTACACACTTGATGTTTGCCTGTTAACAACAGCAGCGACGATGTGGTCAAACGGAGGCAAGGAAGAAAAATTTCATCGTGAAATGCAGGTGAAGATGGTACACGGGATAAAAGGTTGACCACATACGAGCGTACAACAACGGCCTGACAAGAGCTTAAAAGCAGTGCTCGACAGTGAATGCATCAGCTAATAATAGGCGTAAGAATGAGAATAATCTTAATATTAATAATACACTGCATTCCTCTAAAAGGTAATAACATTTCCTTAGGTAGAAACCGATCAGTGTGGACAGAACGAATCATATTCAGCTTGCATGATTGAAAATTAATGTCATTTCGGTCCATCCTTGAATATCTCTCATATGACAACATTGGTCATACCACTTCAAGCTAAAACAAGCTATTGAGTCTGATATGAAATGATTTCGGGTTTTCACAAACCTTGATTGTGATTAGTAGGCTGTTTTACAAGACAGCTAATCTGATGACGAAAAAGGTATTACGTATAAGGTTATTCTAGTCCTCGTTACAAGCAGCGGACAGCTTTTGTTACGGAGTCTTTGATTGGTATTTTCCTCATGATTAAATTGAGTAGATAGAAGTACGTTTTGTGTAGAGGCATCGTATCTTGTTTCAGGCGACGCAACCCGAGATGAAGCTGCATACACAGCTCATGGTAAATTAGGGTAGGTATGCCATATAACAAAAGATTAGTGAATGACCGCCGTAAATTTTCCATGGCTTTCCTATCAATCATCCGCATGTTACCATAGAGTGTTTTTTGAACAACTCGAGTTTGGCAGAGACTGTGTGGATTTTGTGACAAACGTCAGCCACGCATTGTTTGCTGCGGGCTATTTGGCATTAGGCTTTCTCAAAAAAGTGGAAATTAGAAGAATATCGGATTACAAGTTTACGTGTGGACTGCTGTATGCACATACTTTTATTGTTAAGTTTAACTGACCCCTCAGGGTTGGAGCAACCGTAAGACATAATGCTTGCGTTTGTATCCCATGAATCTCAGCAACCCCGTGTTCCAACATTCCTCAAGGGAATGAAGATCATCTTGACTCAGCACCAATGAGTTCTGAATCGCATCCCGCCGAAGCTACTAGACGGCGTGGAGATAAATGCACTACCTTGCGTTTCGTCATTGCATTACAAAACATGGAGTGCAAGGCAAAACACAACAATGTCGTTCCTATCGATCAGCGCTGAACTATCTAACTAGCAAGCGTAATAGCAGAGTAGATGAAAATCACCGATAAGGTGCGACAGGACTGTCATACGTTGTTCCATGGCTGTTGTCCTTATATACGCTCAGAGGATGCTTCACGCTTCCGTTAGCACATGAAGCGCAGGTAGTTTTGGCAGAAACAGCGTGTAAGCCCCGTCGATGGAGTCCTGAGCGTTTTCATATATTCTAACCGGATACCGCAACCATGTACGCAGTGCTGGTTAGCAGAGACAGTGAGAGCTTTGGGAAACTAAAGTGTCGATTCGGACCTGTTATTGCAATAAATAAATAAATTCCTTATTATCGGACAATGCGGGGCATACCTGTATAGGCATGATCATGAGTATCAGCTCAAGAGCAAACGGATCGATTAACAACCACGCCTACCCTTCTGGCCTCCACCTTAGCCTTATTATATTGGTGTAGACGGAGCCTTTGAGGAACCTCATAAAAAGGGAGCCACAAGCATTCAGCTGGTTGCTGATACAACGATATCACGCTGTCAAATTGCATGAAGGTGAATGTTACTCAGAACAAACTAGCAGAAAATCGATAAACTAAAATAACGTACCAGTAGCATGGAGTACTTGTCAGCCTCAGGGTCACGGGAATTCAGCGATGGTGACTGTTAGTGAGAAATACGGTAAAGGGAGGAGCGCAATTAGACGCGTTCATCCAGTCGTGAAGATGGACAATAAGAGGAAGTTGGGACCGCAGTTTTGGTTGTAGACACCACCACCACCACCACCACCATCATCATCATCATCATCACAGCAGCAGGAGCAGCAATATATCAGCCACTTAAACTGACGCGTCGCTGGCTCACAACCAAGGTCGTGAAGATGAAGAAAAAGAGAGGAAATTGGTACCGCTGTTTTGGTTCTAGACACCATCATCATCATTATCATTATCAAGACATCAGATATTGGAACTGATGCTTTGCTGCCATTCAAACCATAACGAACTACAGAATGAAGAATAATAAGAAGGTGAGAAGATGGACTTATCGGAAAATCTTAATGTCCTAAGCAAACATTCAGGGAAAGACGTCCACACCTTGTCAGCAACATACCAGCACAAACAGCTGGCTATCGTGCGAATATAAGGCGGCATCAGCGAGCCAGCTTTCTTGCGTATTTCACTGCCCGGTGTCATAATCAGCCATTACGTAGCAGATAACTCAGCACCAAACACACTTTAAACAGGCAATCCGAGTAGGAGACGGCAGCAGACGCGTCACTGCTTAGGACTGCGAGCCACGTCTTGTAAAGTTTCGAGGTAAGCACAAGGCGAGACGGACTGACGGCAGCGAGTTTGGTCGTCAGTGACTTGATTTCCTGCTGCTATATCAATTTTTGTTCACCTCGAGCTTTGCGCCAGCCTTCAGTTGACTAACAAAATAAGGCTCTCCTCAGGTAAGCGGTGACGGGGCATGCGTAGTACGTGCCTAATCTAACGCAACTTATTCAGTGCTGTGTTTTTCTCAGGAACTTGTTTGAATATCACTTTCCAGCAATCGCCCACGCATATCACCGCTCTGGATTCACTGGTGCCACCCGAAACCCGCAATACCCCGCAGACAGCATTGATCAACTACCTCGAATTCCTCGCTATCCTGAATCAAGGGATCATCAAATGACTGGTTATCCTACAGCAACACTTTGAAGGTACGAAGCGCGTACCAAGTAAGGGGACCACCTAAGGAGGTTTTTCAGGATTGATCGCACCGCTCAAACATTGTTTAAACAGCAAGACGATAATGTCTGCCTAATCATGATTCACTAGCCTTTCACCAGGCAGCATCACAACGCCTACATCGTGAGGTTCCGTAATGGATCACTCCAGGATAAAGTGGATGAGGAAACTGAACAAAAAAGAAGAAATCAGACAACCCTGACGAACGTCATTTGTTATCGGAAAGCTATCCGACAGGTCACCGTAGACCCTGAGGTAACTCATAGTGTTCGAGTACAGAGCATGAGAAATATGCATATATTTAATGAGAACATCTTTCCACACAAATATTTCGAACAGAATGCATCAATCGACGGAAGCATTCTTGAAGTCGAGGAATACAGCTATTGTCGGTCTGCGGTATGTGCGGCGCTGCTCTAGCCGCAAAGTGAATATATGGTCTATAGAGCCACGAGTTGAGCGGAAGCTTGCCTGCACTTCCCTAATCCGAGATTCGCGTTCCGCAGTGGGGCAAAGAACGAGAAGCGAGGCTAGTAATCTTGTCTCAACTGGCGTTAGGCTAATACTCCTGTGGTTAGCACAGTCGGTGCGACTGCCTTTCTTGTATATTGCCACCATAATCAATTCACTCAAGTTAGCCGGGACGGTTTCCACCTTCCATACTTGTTCGAACAGGGAGGTCAGTGCTTTGCAAAGGTCCTCAATCCATCCTCAAATAGTACAGGTGGAAGGGAATCCATGCCAGAAGCACGAAAACGATTGAGAACTGTGATCATGTTTCGGACTTCAGTCTCCGACGGAGACTCTAAACTAACTGTACATGGCTCGTGCTGTATCAGCTGAGCAGGAAAAGGTCCAGGAGCAGGGGACCAACTGAACTGATCTTGAAAGTGCTAAGCCCAACAAGCCATATGGCGCTCCTTATTGTGTATCAGCGCACCCGCACTATCTCTGATTGGCTCACTGACGCCTAGTATCCTAAGCTCAGTAGTGCATATCAGCTGGAAGAGCTTGCGACAATTGTCTACTGCTCCTGCCTCACCCATTTCTTGAGACTGAGTGGCCCACCAGGCTTCCTTGTCAGCACGTAGCTCCGCTTTATTTCGCGCCTAATAGCTCGGCTGGTCACATTGTGCTCAAAGCCAGCCAGGAGGTTCACCGACCTCTCGGATATCTAGTGACTGGTGCGGTGACGATTGTTAGTGTCACAAGCAGATGCTCCTGTGTCGTGCATGGCGACCGAAATCCTATTGCACTGAAGCTCAGTATCACTAGAGCAAGGAAGCGAAAGTTCGGTGCGCAGTGTATCAAGGTAAGCTTGGCTGACCGAGCGCTGGGATGATTTCACAATTGCCAATAGGGGGAAAACGCTTGGTGGGCCTCACAGTTAAATTTCTGGAAAAAATGCACCGAATCAAGGCAGGATCAGAGTCGACGCAAGTACTCCAGAACGAGCGGCAATCCAGGATGAAACCACATCACCTGGCAATGTGATCTATTCAGGTCCATCGATGGTCACCTACAGGAGGACGCCAAGTGGCACTTTGGCACCCATTGTGTCTAAAACCAGTGCTATTAAGAAACAACTGGTGCTCCGCATACAGTTGCAGCAGACGCTCGCCTTTGTCCGTGCGGTTAGGTTAAAGCCATAAGTACCAGCTAGCTAAGCTTCTGAAGAGCCCAGACGAGCTACTTGTGCATTCATATCTCCTGCAAGTACAATGATATCTGAACTAGTAGCATTGCGTAGTAGCGCGTTCAGTTCGAGATAGAATGTATCAATAGCAGCTTCAGAACTGCAGTTGGTGGGAACATAAGCGGAGACCACAAACAAACAGCGTTTTATACTAGTTGGTGTATCAACCTTGGTTGATGTCGTCAAATGGGCTGCACACAAATGGCTGTTCATCGGAATCCAGTCAACCAACGATGACTCAGTCTTGGAGCTGAGTACGATACCTACTCCAGTTTGATCAGAGGCTGCCGCATCAGTGTCTCCGGACGCACAGTTAATTTAACAACTGCTTGAGAGTCAATGATCCTAGGTTCGGATACGCAACACACGTCAATACTTAGTGTGTCCAAGGTTCGTGCGAGTGCCGCATGTTGACCCATTTGTTCCAGAGTGTGAACGTTGAACGCCGCCAGGGAAACGGGACAGTGTGACCTGTTAACGAAGGGGTCCAGTGGGTGGTGAGGGAAGGTAGCTGCAGATGGTTCGATTCCAGTGGTACCAGCGCTGCAGTCAATTAAGCTGGAGACTATAGGTTAGTAAAAGGGGTTGGAAGGGGAGTAAGCGAGAGAGAGAGGTGGGAAAGAAAGGGTAGCGCTGGCAGCAGCTTGTTTTCGCTTATGCGCCCTGCTGTACGCAGCAGATAAAGCGACTCTTGATAACCTGCGCGACGGCCAAAGCAGGAGGTAGTTGAATTTTGAGGAAATTGTCATGTCATGGTTGTATGTGGGCTCAGGTACAGCTAGGGCGCTCAGACCTACAGGGTGTTTTATTAATTACGTTCGAAACTAGGGGCGCTGCGTTTACGTGCTGACGTACTCCAGCACGCTGAATTGCCCACTCTCCAAGGGCGCAAATTGCTTTATCGAACCTGTCGACAGGGGCGAGATGGGATACAGAGGCAGGACTGTGTGTCTACAATTGCAGGGCGTACCAAGGGAAACGAGGCCGTACGGCTGTGCGAAGTGAGTGTTAGCCAAACACCGAAACCGAACTGGACGTGTCATGGTTCGATCGATTGATAGTCGGCTTTCACGTAGGTGAAAATGTCAGCAGAAGGGATCCCTGTGAAATGGATAGTGTCTCGCTGTTCTTGCAATAGAGAAGAACAGCCTGGCCCTTTGTAATGACCGATGGATGCCGGTTCCTAATGCAATAGCTGACAAAAGGCAACCGCGACAAAAGCTGTTATAGCCTCATGACTGGCTTCGAGTAAACCCGGAA